TGAAGGATGGGAAGTTGACACGTCAACCACTCGGCTACACTGCCACGAGCGCCTTTTTTTGGGTCCCAGGGCAACTATGAATTTTCAAGGAAGGCCAAGCCTTTTTGCCATATCATATTCTTTGGTGGGATTTTCGATGAAGCAGACGTATATCTGCTATCACAATCGACTACTATACTCTATTTTTCGAATTTGTTATTCTTTTCGTGACTATCAGTAAATCAGCTCAACTCATATCATTGTGGGAAAATTCTTCTTCTACCAGTCCTTCATCACCTTAAACGAAATTGGGTGAATACGCCCCATATTACAAGATCATATGCTAGTTTATTTACACAAAGCAAAGCTGTGAACACATCGGTTGCTGTTTCCCACACCAACCTCACTTGCCTGCACGCATGCAGGACGAGCGTAAAGCAGCCAACCCATTCATGGAATTCATCAGTAAGATCGCGAAGTGAGGTTCAGCGTTTTTAGGAGATTGTCCGCAACTAGTGGTTTCTAGCTCTGACGATGTCCATCACATGATGGATGAAAGCTCGGTACCGATGGATCGGGTTCGTAGGACTGTGAGCCGAAGTCTTCTCCACACACTCCAACTGTCGCAAACACAAGACAGCCCTCCTTCAAAATCCGGGGAGGCCAATTTATGAATCCCTTCCATCAGCCTATTACAATGCCATGAAAGGTATGCCAGCAAATATTTATGTTTTCTTTCTCCTGGGTCAGAGCTCGGTGTATTGAGGATCTACAATATGCTCAAACTGCCAAGGAGTGGACAAGATTTATGCTTTTTCCTGCATAATATAGGCCAGACACCAGCCCTCTTTTTCTTATAGTGCAAATTTACAGTAAAATAATCCTCAATTAAGCATCATTTAAATCTATTAAACCTGGAAATCAGTCGCTTTTTATGCTTTTATAAAATAAGGTTTATTCACTGAAGCTTTCTTAAATGCATCCCTTCTAGCTTATGAGTTGGAGGTCGTAACTGGGGACAAGCCTGGAGCTGGTACAGTGCATAACGTTTGGATCATTTTGGAAGGCGAGAACGGAGTTTCCTCCAGACCGTTTGTGATGGTCAATTCTCCCACCAACGCTGTGTTTAAACGAGGCAAAACGGACACCTTCAAGTAAGTAGCATTTTTTCCATTTCTATCTTTGCGGCCAACCAGCACCAACTGACTGGTCATCAACTTTTCAGCCAAATGCAGAAATCAAATTTGAACAATATACATCTTAAAGAATGTCCACACGATTGTAGTGTAGTACTTTGAGATCTGCATACAACTAAGGCCTTGCATCCCCATTAGATGATTCAAGCA